CCCCAAAACCCCAAAACCCCAAAACCCCAAAACCCCAAAACCCCAAAATATTATAAAATATTGATAACATTGTAAGTAAAGCTTGGTGATTGCGTACCTACTCATAACTTCTTTGCTCCCATTGGGATAGCATCTTACTAAATATTTGAATTTGATACAAGAGTCAAATTTCATTTAGTCTTCAATAATATACTTAAATATCCACATTGATCATTCGTTTTATAGGAAGTTCAATAAATGACAGATGATGAGGGAAGAAGACGACTAATGGATGCTGGAAACTCGATAATAAGGTACAATTTTAATATTCACTGTTTCACACTTATTACAGAAGAAGTTTTCATAATAAAGTAAGAGATAACTGGAGAGAAGAGAATAAGCAAGGAGAAAATATTCTTCCAAAAGATTATAACTCAAAATAACATGCCACTCGAAAGAGGAAAAATGAGTAAAACAATGCCGAGGTCGGCTAGCTTACAGAATATAGCCCAACCAGGTTTGTTAATATTCTAGAACCTTACTAATTTCATTCTAATATAGGATTGGTTAATTATTCACCTATATCTTACCGAGCAAAGAATATAAATGCTCCAGAAGGTCCACTAGTTAATCCTTCTGATCCTGTAAACCACCTATACATGTATTGGGAGAATATGAGGATGCAGTCTATGATTTATCAAAAAGAGATGAGCATTGCTCTTGCCCAGAAAGAGTTAAAAAGAAAAATGAAACAAGAAAAACGATTACAAGAAATAATGCAGCTATGTGACCTCAAAGAAGACAAGGTTTATGATAGAGCCCAAAAAACAGCTGCCCTAGTTGGAGATGAGCCGAAAGGAGAAAAGAAAGTTTATAAGAATGATAACCCTGAAGCTGATGGGGTTCTACTCGATCTCCACAATCAAGAATATAAGATGGCCAAAATCCTATCAACTTTAGATGAGAACTCTAATAGCTATAGAACAAAGCTACAAAAGTTAAGAGATATGGTCAAAGTGAGGAAGGAATTGGAAAGAATGCTTCACTTCAAAGTAGACCAAAATCATTATAACTACGAAAAGGTAAAGCAGGAGAGGAAGCAAAAAGATTATTATGCAGAGCGATTACGTAAAAGAATTCATATGGAAGGAGCACCAGTAAAATCGATCCGTGATTATTCCAAACAAGAAATGGACCCTTATAGAGATGGTTTCTTTATTCAGTTTGATTATATACTTGATATTGTTAAAGAATTTCCTCAAGTTCAACTAGTATACGGAATTTATAGAAGAAGCGTTCAGATTAATGAGCCTAAACAAGTTGACCTAGTTTTCACTGAAGACTCTCATGATCCAACTTTCTCAATGGCTCTTTTTGACCAAAGACATACACTAAGAAAACTTAAAGCTCATTCTGATACAATGATAATTATTGAATTACAAGTTCCAGAAAGAGATAATGTCTATGCTGAAAATAAAATGAATACTGCAAACAAAAATTTTGGAGAGATCAACAATATGAAGACTTATGCTTGGACATGAATTGATCTTTTTACCTCAAAGAGGGGACTAAAAGAAGGAGCGTTTAAAATTCCTTTCTACAGGCCTCCAACCTCATTAAATGTAAGCAAGGAAAGTATTGGTAAATATATCAGAATTACTCCAACTCTACTTTATATGAGAATAATGAGACTCGAACCAACACATATTTCTGAAATATTTTGAAACCCTGCTTATAAGAAGAAATATGTTATTCATGATTTCCATGATTTTGTTAAAAGAGGCTTGGCTCCAGCTAAAGATCAAGAGAACGCAGGAATAAATGTAACTATTCACTATGTTAAAGGAGTAATTCCTGAAACACATGTTCGAGTCGCATGATGTCTTCAGGTTGGTGAAGATATACTAAGAGCACAGAATCAAAATCTTTGCTTCTTTGCAACTAAAGGCCTGAAGGCAGGTGGCAAAACTGCCCATGAAGTAAGCAAAGCAGTTACAGTTGGGAATATGAATCCTCCAAAAACTGAGAGAGGAGATGAGCAGGAAGAGACTGGGGGATATGCCAAAACGGCACAAACATCAACTGCTCTCTTAGAGTTTAATGAAACCAAATCTTGGATCAGAGATATTGAAGCATCATATAGGGACGAATCAGGGAGAGTTGTGACTGATTGATATTTGATTATACAACTTCTACAAAAGAACACTAAAAGCTATCCAAGAAAGGTTACAAATAGACAAATGCTTGAAGATGATTATGAACTTATAGGATATACAGTGCTACAAATGAATCTTAAAGATGGTTCTCTAGCATATGGTACATATCATCTACAGTTCTTCGAAGGCCCAATATTTGTTGAAGAACTTGATCCCAGCAAAAAGATGAGTACATCAGTAAAAATAACAATTTCCCCTATTACTTTCAGTTTGCCATATGGTGAGCAGAATCAAAGGCATCCTTCAAAGACACTGAAGCCACATCGGAAAGACTATGACTCATATGTTGTCAATCATGAACCTTCATCGACACACCTACCTCCTCAAGCAGTTAAAACTCCTGAAACAGTAAATACTACTCATAGAATAAATAACAGAGGACAGCCATCTAACCCTGCATTTGCTGAATTTGCTAAAGCTCTTAGTCCAGATGATAAATTCTAATTTTTGCATAAAACAGATAATTTCAATTGAAATTTTAAGAATTGGGGTTTTGGGGTTTTGGGGTTTTGGGGTTTTGGGG